GGAGAGGACACCTGTGTCTCGGTAAGAAAGAGCAGAGCCAGCCTCGTTGTCTCGAGATGGTAGTGGACTGCGTTTAGGTTAGAATGAAGTACCTACCCTGATATTGCAGAAATTCACGGATAGCGTGGCGGGGGTTGCCTTGGTCTTGTTGCTCAGTTTTCCCCGAGCAGTTATTTTCTTGAGCGGAATTTTGCCCCCCCCCCCCCCCCACACAAATCACAATGGCTTGGGGATTAATAATAATGTTGCAAGCCATAATTGATGCGGCTGGCGCCATTGAGTATCGAGTAGCAGAACTAGGAAGGCTTTCTAGAAAATTTAATTCTAGAACTTTCCCACTAGCGCCATCTAGTATCGAGTGGCAGAACTAGGAGAGAACTTTCTACAATTAGTCGGTTGGGATCGATATGTGCTCGAACTTTCTAGATGTTTTAGCGGAGAAAATACTATATCTTATAGGAGACTCTAACTGAATTGACCACAATGTAATAAATTTTATCAAACAATATATATTATTACTACGCACTTATAACATGAAGGCTACCTTACCGCGGTTGTGGATTAAAGCAATGGAATACTAAAAAAGTCAAGTTTATTATTAAGACGATGGATACAAAAATGCACGAGCACCGAACATTTTATGATTACAACAATATAGTCATATATTGCGTGTGCCTACCCGACGAACGGGTTGTAGTTCTCAATCTGTTACTCTTGTGACCACTAATCACGGGGGCCTAGGTAGATTACCAGGGCCTGGAACTGAAAATCAGGTCGCGAGTACACTTAGCATCAGGCGAGCTGCATGCTCGTTTGCACCTCTTCCTAAAAGAATCATCCTGCACTGACTTTTAGTATAGTGATAATGAGGGATAACGGGATTTAAATCTGAAATTTTGATGACGTAATTATCATTTTCTACAAGCGAACTCACTTTGTATAAGGTAAACCACCGTTAATAATGAGATGAATTGATTAGAAAAATTATTTATTGTGCTACATGCATTCCTCCAAAACTCACTATACGGTGTTAATGGAAGACTTCAACGCAAAATTGGGCATAAGAAATAACGGTGAGCTGAAGGTAGGGAAATTTGGGATAGGGCAAGGGAACCCAAGGGGCCAGTAGCTGGCCGACTTTATGGAGAAAGAGGGACTCTTTATGATGAACTCTTTCTTCCAGAAGCAGCCCCACAGAAAGTAGACCTGATCGAGCTCCGACGGTTCGACAAAAATTGGGATTGACTTCATTATGACGACCAGACGCCAACTGTTCAGTGATGTCTCAGTGATCACAAGGGTGAAAACTGGCAGCGATCACCGAATGGTTAGAGGCACACTGAACCTAAACGTTAAGTTGGACAGGTCTCGTCTAAAGAAGTCAACGCTCCGTCCCCCTCGTGCTCTAATCCAGAATCCCGAAACTCTTTAGCTCGAGTTACGTAACCGCTTTCAGTACCTAGAAGATTGCAATGCAGTGGACGATATGAATGACAAACTCGTGGAAACTGTCCATTCGGTCGGAGATAAGTTCTGCAAGACCCACCGTAGAAGAACACAAAAACTCTCCGATCACACTCTTAATCTCATGACTGTTATACTGGAGATGAGGCTGCAATCGACAACAGATTTGGCAGCATACCGGCAACTGAACAGACAGATCTCCAAATGTATGCGGCGAGACTTACGCAACTTTAATACTATTCGTATTAAAGAAGCGATCGAGCGAAACCAGGGCTCCAAAGTCTTTGCCAGAGATCTGTCTGCCAGAAAGAGCCAACTGTCAAAGCTGAAGACTGAGTGTGGAAGCATCTTCCGGGAAACCTGAGATTTTGAGTGAGATTAAGAGGTTCTATGGGCAGCTGTACACATCATCGTTGGAGCCACACGCAAGTGTAAGTAAAGATCCAAGAGCAAGTCTTATCCGACACTATTCCGATGATATCCCGGACGTCAGTCTGAGCGAGATGATCTGTCTGATGAGAATGGCTCTCCAGCACCTTAAAAACGACAGCGCCCCAGGCGAGGATGGAATTACAGCGGAGCTTCTGAAAGCGGGTGGAACACCGGTACTTGAAGTCCTTCAGAAGCTCTTCAATTTCGTCCCCCATGGTGGCACTACTCCGGAGGCGTGGAGCAGATGTGCGGTGGTCTTGTGCTTTAAGAAAGGCGACAACGCTCTCTTGAAGAACTACAGACCGATTACCCTTCTGAGCCACGTCTACGTGCTGTTTTCGAGAGTCATTAAGAATCATCTCGCACGCAGACTCGACGACTTCCTGCCTCCTGAACAAGCCGGTTTCCGAAAAGGATTCAGTACCATAGACCACATACATACCCAGCGGCAGATTGTACAGATGACCGAAGAGTACAATCTGCCACTTTGCCTGGCGTATGTGGACTATGAGAAAGCCTTTGATTCCGTCGAAATTTGGGCGGTGCTATAGTGCCTTCACCGGTGTCAAGTTGACTGTCGGTATATCGAAGTGCTGAAGTGTTTGTACAGTAGGGCTACGATGGCTATCCGAGTACAGAACCAGAGGTCGAAACCTATCAAACTGCAGAGAGGTGTAAGACAGGGTGACGTTATATCCCCAAAACTCTTCACCGCTGCATTGGAAGACGTTTTCAAGCTACTGGACTGGAAAGGATACGGTATTAACATCAATGCGAGTACATAACTCACCTTCGATTTGCCGACGATATAGTCCTTTTGGCAGAATCGCTGGAGGACCTAAGCACTATGCTCAATGACCTCTATGGTGTCTCCCAATGGATAGGTCTTAAGATGAACATCGACAAAACAAAGATTATGTTTAATGTCCATGTCACACTTAAGCCGGTAGTTGTGGGAGCACTATGCTCGAAGTTGTTAACGAGTACGTTTACCTGGGACAAATAGTCCGACTAGGTAAGTCCAACTTCGACTGAGAGGTCAATCGACGGATTCAACTCGGCTAGGCAGCGTTCGGAAAATTACGACACATCTTCTCGTCAGGTATACCTCAAAATCCGAAAACTAGATTGTACTACCAGTGCGTATGAGGACGCTCAAGGTTGAGCAGTGAGCTATGGAGAGGGCTATGTTCAAAGTTTCTCTGCGTAGTAGACTCAGAAATGAGGATATTCGCAGTAAAACCAGAGTGACCGACATAGCCCAACGGATTAGTCAGCTGAAGTGGCAAAGGGCCGTCCATTAAGCTCGAAGAACCGATAACCGATGGGGATAAAAGGTTCTCGAGTGGCAGCCTCGTACCGGTAGGCGTAATGTAGGGCGACCCCCCACTAGATGGAGTGGCGACCTGGTAAGACATGCAGGAAGTCGATGGATGCAGGTGGCTCAGGACCGTGCTTTGTAGTGATGATGATGATGGTAGTAGAGCCATGCTGCAGTTATATTAGTAGTATAGTTGTAGCACGAATGAGTAGGCTCGACCGGGGCAGGACCACGCTCTCACAGAATACTAGCGTAAAATAGTAGCTTAATGCTGCTGTGTTTCGTATGGTGAGTGTAGAGAACCGGAGATCCTTTTTACTTGAAACGAGGCATTTTATCTTAGTCCTCACGGGTGAAAACGCATCTGTATTTTGATTCGTAATCGAGGATAGATGTAGATGTCTATGGGCCATGGCATCCACTTACCATCAAGTAGACTGTGTGCTCGTTTGTCACCCTACATTATTAAAAAACAAGAAATAAAAAACACCTGCCTATTTAGGTTCCAATGCTGGGCACAGACCTCCTCTCATATCTGAGATCTTGGTTTTAAGAGCAAGAAAATGTCCGCCGTGCTGCCCCAATTCTTGTTGGCGAATTTCACATGTCTACGAAATATTTTTTTTATTTCTCATTCATGCAGGTTTCCTCACGATATTCCCCTTCAACGACGAGCAAGTAGTAAATCAGCACTTAAAATTGTAGTTAACAACTTCATTGGAGCCGTGGGGGTTGTGCCCGAGTTGTTCTCATACAAGTATTATGAAAATTAAAATTCAAAAAGTTAATTATTGTGATAATATTTAGTGCCTCTGGAAATTTCCTATGTATCCATGAGCAAAATAGGTCAATCAATATTATGGCGCACGTGACATGTCCTGAAGGACGGACATGCGTAGTTCAGAGATTCGGAGGTCCAGGGCATCTCAACTGCATAGTTAACCGCGACGTGCCGCGACCATCACTCACGTGTTTCAAAGTGCAGTGCAGTTCTTTGTCCCTTACTACTCAATGATATTTTTTCTCTATCGTGAAGAAACTACCGGGCAAAAAGTTACTTTTTCGGAGAATTCTGGTACAGTATTTGACGTTTAAAATTATTTTAATATTATTTCTAATAAAATAAACAGATAAACAAAGAAAGAAATTCGGTAAAAAATAAAGAAAAAATATGTGTGCGTGTGCACGTGTCAAGAAGTTGAGCATGGTTCCAGCATCACTAGAAGTGTTCGCAGCGCCCAGTCTAACTTTCTTTGTTGATCTGATATTGCAGTGACGGAGATTCGATAAGTGGGTATATTAAACCCGTTACCTTTAATTTTAATATTAATTGAGTACACCATACACGTTGTTTCATTTTATTTTGAAATAATATAATAAAACTAATTATACGGATTTAATCGCGTTTATTTAAACTTTTCATTCCCGACTTTTTAAATGCTGTAAAGTGCCACGGGTCACGGGAGATTTCAGTGCCTCCTAGAATTAAAAAAAAACGTGATAATATTCGTAAAATTAGTTTTATTCCATCTTAACTATTCATAATTTATTTAGACAACTTTATAATTTAAATCATTTACATCATAGAATGTTTTTCGTATTAAATAATCTAATTCGAATTAACTTAAACATAAACATTATTCAAATTAAGGGCTGAATGCGGTTATCAAATATCTGTATCAAATTGGAGACTCTAACCGCCCTAGAATTTTCCCGGGTATCCTAGGGCAACTGGACGTCAAATCAATATTATGGCGCACGTGACATGTCCTGAAGGACGGGCATGCGTATTACAAAGTTTCGGAAGTCCGGTGCATATGAATTGCATAGGTAATCACGACGTCACGCGACTATTACTTGCGTGTTTCAAAGTGCAGTGCAGTTCTTTGTCCCTTATTAACCAATGACATTTTTTCTCTATATTGAAGGCAAAAAGTTGCTTTTTCGGAGAAATCTGGTACAGAATTTAACAATTAAAATTATTTTACAATAAACAGATCAACAAAGAAAGGAATTCGGAGCGTTGTGTACATTTCAAGGAATGCAAAAACCAAGTGGACACCATACTCAGCTCATTGTAAGAACACACATAACGAACACATACAATTAAAATCATTGGTTACGAACAACACGGTTCTAACATGTGTCTGTCCAGCTGAGCATGGTTTTGAGGCAATCACCGGAGACCCTGTTTACTGGAAATGAGGCATTCTATCTTAGTCCTCACGGGTGACAACGCATCTGTATTTTTATTCGTAATCGGGGTTAGATGTAGATGTCTATGGGCCACGGCATCCACTTACAATCAATTGAACTGTGTGCTCGTTTGTCACCCTATCCTAAAAAAAAAACACCAGTCTATATACGTTCCACTGCTGGGCACGGACCTCCTCTCGTATCTGAGATTCTGGGTTTAAGAGCAAGGAAATGTCCGCCGTGCTGCCCCAATTCCTGTTGGCGAATTTCACATGTCTACGAAATATTTTTTTTTATTTCTCAGACATGCAGGTTTCCTCACTATATTTCCCTTCACCGACGAGCAAGTGGTAAATCAGCACTTAAAAATGTAGCTAACAACTTTTAAATTAACTTTTAAATTGTTGCCGGCGGGGGTTGTGCCAGAGTTGCTCTCTTACAAGTATTGTGAAATTTACATCGAGCGCTTAGCACCTGGAAAAATTAATTATTGTGATAATATTTAGTGCCTCTGGAAATTTCCTACGTTTCAATGTGCAAAATAGGTCAATCAATATTACGGCGCACGTGACATGTCCTGAACGACGGACATGCGTAGTCCAGAGATTCGGAGGTCCAGGGCATCTCAATTGCATAGTTAACCGCGACGTGCCGCGACTATCACTCACGTATTTCAATGTGCATTGCAGTTCTTTGTCCTTTATTAACCAATGATATTTTTTCTCTGTCTTGAAGAAATTACTTGGCAAAACGTTAATTTTTCGGAGAAATTTGGTACAGTATTTAACATTTAAAATTATTTACAATTTCTTATGCAGTGATTAGATCAACAAAGAAAAAAATTCGGTAAAAAAATAAAGAAAAAATCTGTGTGCGTGTCAAGAAATTGAGGTTGGTTCCAGCATCACTTGACAGTGACAGAGATTCGATAAGTAGGTATATTAAACCCGTTGCCCTTACTTTTAATATTAATTCAGTAGGCCATAATTATTGTTACATTTTTAGTTATTGTTACAAAATTTGTATTATTCCTAATTATTTTTTCATAATTCTTCTCGACAAATTTATAATTTACATAATGACGTAGAATGTTTTTCATATTTAATTATCTAATTGTTATTAATTTTAATTTATAAATATTATTAAAATGAATAGTTGAATGCTGTTATCATATACCTGTATCTAATCGGAGACTCTAACTGTATTGATCACAATGTGTTAACCTATATCAAACAATATATATTATTACTACGCACCTATAACATGAAGGAAATGCTAAAAAACGACAGATAATAATTAAGATGATGGATTCAATATGCACCAACTCCGAACATTTTATGATTATAAATTCTATTGTTGTACATAACGGATACCTGAGTAACAGGTTGTCATTCTCAATCTATTACTCTGGTGACCACTAATCACCATATCCTCCCGGGGATATAATAATTATATAAAAAATATATTGTGCTCGTTTGCCCCCGTTCTATAAAAATCACTTTAATATAGTAAGGGATAATGAGGGACAACCCCTTTGTATATACAAATCCGATATTTTGATGTCGTAATTATTTTTTCTACACGCGTGTTCAATTCGGCATACGGTATAAAGTTATGTCATCGTTTTTTACGAAAACTTAAATTTAAAAAAGTTAAAGTAACAGCTACTATACGCTCCACTGCTGGGCACAGGCCTGCTCTCATTTCTGAGGGTTAAAGGGTAAGGTAATGTCGGCCGCGCTGCCCCAATGGGTGTTGGCGAACTTTTTCCGCGTATCCTAGGGCAACTAAACGTTAAATCAATATTATTGCGCAGGTACAACCTGTAGCATGATGTTTGAAGAATGAACATGCGTATTGCATAGTTACCGGGTGCGGTGCTTTTTAGGTCAGCCCTGGCTTAGCGACGTTCTGCTACTATTACGTGCCGCGAGGTTGTTCGAAGTTCTTTGTCGATTTTTACCTGTATATTCATACCTTTCTTGTGAGACTGTAAGAAAACTAATTTGATATTTTTGGATAGTAAACAATAAGGTAATATATATATATATATATATAACATAACCTTTATAATTTTTATATTTTATTATTCCTAACATTCGCTGTCCTTACGGTCCTTGAATAATATTTTTTTTTGTTTTTTTAAAAAATATTTTCATGGCATTCATAGGAATCTATCTGGATAAAATGTATCTTAAGTCCACTCATAAGATATTGTCATGTTTTATTTGTAGTTTTCAAGGTTCCGTAGCCAAATGGCAAAAAACGGAACCTTTATGGATTCGTCATGTCTGTCTGTCTGTCGGTCCGTCCGTATGTCGCAGCCACTTTTTAAAGTAAAGAAACTATAAGAATTACGCTGTTGAAACTTGGTGAGTAGATGTATTCTGTGAACCGCATTAAGATTTTTTTACAAAAATAGAAAAACATGCAATAAATTTTGGAGGTTCCCCATACTTAGAACTGAAACTCAAAATTTTTTTTACACTCACGCCTGTCACCCAGAGTGGTAGGCAGAGACTACAGACTTCCATTTAGCACGATCCTGACATACCTATCCCGCCTCTTCCACATCCATATACCATGCTCGTCGCACACATGCTCGTCGGTTAGGGGTACTCTTAATTTGGCACATTTTTAATATATCGCCAATTTGGTCGATAAACTTTCGACTAGGACGTCCCTTTCCGACTCTTCCATTCACTTCTGCAACATTATTTGCTTTGTCAGTCTTTCCTCATTCATTCTTTCTACATGACCAAACCACCGAAGCATTCCTTAATCCTGGTCACCGCATCATATTGCAAACCACACTCTTCTTTTATCACACAGTTTTTTACCGTCACTCAGATTCAGCCCTAACATACTCCTTAGCGACCACATTTCTACTGCATTTATTCTACTCTCGTGCTTCTTCTGCCACACCCAACTTTCACTACCATACGTTAAAGTAGGGACTAATTCAGTATTGTGAATTGCCATACGTGCCTTTTTTGACACATTCTGACTTTTCACAATACAGTGTAGAGCCCCATTTACTTTATTTCCCGCATTCACTCATCGTTTAATATCCTTATCCCATACCTGCCGAATACACATCCCAAATATATAATAAATTCATGCACTTGCTCGACCATCTCCCCTTCTATTCTTATTTCACATATAGTTTTACTTTCTTCTCTTTCAAAAACCGTAACTTTCGGCTTACTTGCATTCACTTTCATTCCCCTTTCTTTTAATGATCTGTTCATTAATGTAACCATTATTTGCAACTCGCCCGCCGACGACACAAGTATTACTTCATTATCGGCGTACAAAAGGCATTGGATGGTTAATTCAGCTATTCTTAACCCGCATTCTTCAACTTTCAAATTTTCCAAACAACTGTTCATAAATAGGTTAAACAGCCACGGGGAAGCTACACAGCCCTGTCTGACACCTTTATGGATGCCAAACCAGTCCAAGTAGGCCCCGTTGTTCCTAACAAAAAACTCAAGTCCCTATACTTTAATGCCTGTATCAACCCAGCGTTCAACCTAAATGAGTTCAGCGTTTGCCATAACACATCCCTGTTCACTCTGTCATAAGCCTTTTCCAAGTCCATGAACGCACAAAAAACTTTTTGGTTTTTCGCCAAAAACTACGTGATCATGCGCATGAAAAAGACTTGATCTGTACACCCCACTCCCTTTTTAAATCCCGCTTGCACATCCCAAATTTTTTCATTAGTTTCTTTCATAACTCTTTCAATTAGTACCTTAGCATACAGTTTTCTCACAATGCTAAGAAGGCATATACTTAAGGGAACGATAAAAGTAAAAAAAATATATGATTTACCCTACTATGTAAACTTCCACCGAAAATTGGTTTGAACGAGATCTAGTAAGTAGTTTTTTAATACGTGATAAATCATAAAAAAGATACGCTATTATAAAACTTTTATATTATGTTACTTGCTGCTACGGAACCCTCCATGGGCGAGTCCGACTCGCACTTGGCCGCTTTTTCAGTAATGCTCCATTCACATGTGTTTTTGAGATTTAAAATGTATCGCTGTTAATACAATACCCAGTACTCACTCAAGCTCAAAAATATGTGTAATGCGTCCGTTTTCTCAAATACAATTATCTACTGCTTGAACACGACATAATTTGTTGAATTACTCAGGTTTTGATTCATGGCTCATTACTCAGGTAAAGTCGTACAATAGGTTTCTATTTCTCGGAGTAGGTATATAAAACAATTAATGTTTGACAATAACATATACATATACTAACACTCACACTTGTCACCAAGAGGGGTAGGCAGAGACTACAGACTTCTATTTGGCATGCATGCATCCTGACACTCCTCTCTCGCCTCCTTAGATTCATATACCTCGGTTAAGGGTATCGTCTCTTATTCTGTCCCATCTTCGATATTTTGCCAATTCGGTAGATAAACTTCCGTCCAGGGCGTCCCCTGCCGACTCCGCCGTTCACTTCTGCAACATGAATTTGTTTTGTCACTCTTTCCTAGTTTATTCTTTTTAGAGGGTTTTCAATAAGGGCGCGTAGATGTCAAAATAAAATAAAACAAGCTATGTGTGAGGTATTAACAAAATTCTTCAAATGTCCAGCTCGGCTTCTTACAGTGGCACAGATTAGACTGGTCCAATTTTCAATGACTCTTCGTCATGGATTCGACTAAATTTGTGTAATAGCCTGTGTTATGTTCACCTTTAGGGCATCGGTCGACTGAGGTTTTTTGAATAGACCTGTTACTTCAAGATACCCTAGAAGAAAAAGTCTGGCGGGGACAAATCGCATGACTTTAGTGGCCACATAATGATTTCTTAAATTTACGCGAACACTACACATTGAATAAAACTAATATACTATAAGCTCGTTTAGCGTAAATCGGACCAAAAATTAATATTCAAAAACTGAAGGTAGCCGGACTAACTATGACATTGGGTCGTCAAACATCTCAGTCCCCCCCGTGACCATGGTTGCTGTAAAGCACCCGAAACGTCGGGAATTAAAAATAAGTAAAAGTAGTGAAATAAACGCGATAAAATCCGTAAATTTAGTTTTATTCAATGTTTAGTGGCCAATTCACATCACCCCTGCGAGAGATAAGCTTATTCTCAAATCGCTCATGGAGATTGCCAATCGTTGCGTCTGATGTGTGGCACGTAGCACCGTCCAACTGAAACTACTTGACTTATAGATCCATCTGGTTCAATTTGGGCTGTAAGAAATTGGTTGTCATCGTTCTGTAGCGCTCGCTGTGAACGGCAACTGCCTCATAAGCGTCGTTTTAAAAAAACCATGGATAAATGACACCGCTGGCCCAAAATCCACACCAAATGGTAACTTTTTGAGGATGCATTATCACCTGGTGAACTTCGCATGCGTTGGTGTCGTCCCATATATGGTAATTCTTTTTGTTAATATTTGGCATATTTGGCAAAATATGCCAAATATGACCAAAATTGAGTTCCTCATCCAAACTATTCGAAGCCCAGTCAGCGAACAAACGGCGTTGTCGATGGTCATGAACTTCGAACTCCTGGGTCAGTAGGATCTTGTACGGGTGTAGGCCTATTTTTTTTCATTCTGTGCGAGCAGCTATGCAGGTCTAGGTAAAGAGACCAGTATCACTGCGAACTAAAAGATCTATTGTGATCGCTGCTATGGCTATAGTTACGGCTAAGCCCTATGTCTTCAATGAATCGAAGGAGTTGCTTAGCCGTATGCAATTTCACTTCTTCTGGGCGGAGTAGATAGTTTCTTAGATGATTTTTACGTTTGCGCATTAAGGGTCCGCAATCAATTAGGATGTTTTCTTCCGTTATGGAACAGAACCGACACATCCTTGAGTTGCTTAGTCCTAGGATGGACGTGTGCTTTTTAAGACAACAGTGTCCAGTTAGGGCTCTTGCCAGAATGCGCAATTTATTTTTACTTAATCCCAGGGCTTCTGAAGCGAATTTACGATCAAAAGCACGGATTAAGGTTTTAGAATGTTTTAAGCCTGGTGTGTCAGACTAGATCTTAAGTGATTTATTGTGATAAAGAATTTCATAGGTCAATCGGGCTAGGCTTCTTGAGATTCCACAAACTGGCTCAGGTCCAAATTGTGTGCACTTTGAGCCCTACCGTGCAAGTTTGTCGGCAAATTCATTGCCTACAATACCCTCGTGACTCAGAACCCATGTTAAAACGACCCTGTTGTTACATCCCAAGGCGTTTAAACGGTTCGATCCCAGCGCTAGCAGTGCTGTTTGACTATCAGAGTTTATGTAAGTTTTATGGTTGACGTAGTGTTTTTGCAGATTGATTTCCGCACACCGAAGTATGGCGAAAATTTCTGCCTGGAACATAGAAGTGTATCTACCCCAATTCATACTAAGTTTGAATTTGGGGCGTTCTCCGTAAGGGTGTAGGCCTAAGTCCCGACGCAAAATTCGCCCAGTTGAATCTGCGAAAGGCCGAGATGTACGGCGAGGAATCGACTGCCTTGGATTCTGCTGTACACTTTCGCCGAACGGCGTGTCGAATCGTTCGTTTCGAATTTGGCCACCAAACGTTGACGAGTAACTTTGAATTGCCGATATGTCTACTGTAAAATGGGCAAAGTTTGCACTAACGAACAGTGATTTCGATAATAAAGTTTTATCATTTGAACGTGTATTATTCAATCTTGTAGCTTTATATGTTAATTCGGCATAATTTATATGAATAATAAACAAAACATATGATAGATGTCACTACAATAAAATGGCCGCCACGGGCCGCCAAAATCTACACGCGCCAATTGAGAAACCCGTTGCATGACCAAAATGACTTTCAGTAAGTATTATACGATAATCTACATTGAATAAAAATCAATCACTACATTTATTTCTTTCTTAATCCTGGTCAACAACATCAAAATAATGAGAGTAAAAAGTAAAGTGTAAGAAATTAATAAAATATATTTTGCAGGTGCAAAATACACTTTTATATCACACAATTTGTCACCATGTTGTATGTGTCAAAAATATGTAACGAAAATTCAATTTTAAAATACAAAATATAAAAAACTGTAAAATATAAGAGAATTTATTAGGAAATTAAAGAAAACCTATTAGAACAAGAGAAAGTGTTTCTACATTCCAGTATTTTATGACATCATTGATTGCTGTAGTTGTTATATTTACTATTTGTCTCTCTCAATCTCCAAAAAGATGGTTTAATCAATTTGTCTTATTAAGCCCATGTTTCTTTGTTTCAGTGCTGATTTAAGTACGGACCTACGTCCCTGGCATCTGAAGGTCACTTCAAATCCTCGAAGACTCTTAGCTACTGTTGTTAACGTAGCTGGACATCAAGCTCTACTAACAATGGCCGAAGAGCAACAAATCTCGCAACTCGATGCTTATCCTCGCGAATTCCGCGAACAACTCGCAATCCGAGAACTCGATGAAAACGTAAGTAACTTCGTCTTCGTCTCCGCCTTCGTGAACTATTTTGTTTTTTTCTTTAATGTATGGACGATTCTTTAAATTTACTTTTTAATTTTAAAAACCTATTTAATTTACTTTTTTAAGTTACTCTCTTTATTCTTAGTTATCGAACGTTAATGTTGTATAATTTATATTTCATCGTCATCATAACAGCATATCATAAGTCCATTGCTGAACAGATTCCTCTTCCATACAATGTCATAAAGCACGGCGGCCACCTGCATCCATCGACTGCTGCATCTCTGAGCAGATTGTTACACTAAACTTTGCTTACCGGTACGATTATACAACTTGCAAAACTATATTTTCTACCGGTTGTCGATTCTGCGAGTCATAAAGGTTACTCTGGTTCCACTGCGTATATCTTCATTATAATCCAAGTAGCACAGAAGCAATATAAGCTGACACTGTATCGCTTTCTTGCTGTATAATAGCGGTTTAAGGAACTTTGTATCACTCTTCACTCGTATATAACAGATTCCTATATCTCTTTAAAAGCAGAGTAATAAAGAAGCCGTTTAGTAGTGACTATGATGGCTTTGGAGATAAAAAAAGAGTTTGTAGAGCTTTTCTACATGCGGTGGATACAAGGCCGAGTTATGAATAGATATGAAGGATAAGGATATGAGAGAGATATGAAGGAATAAGAAAGACAAAAGCGCTTCAGTTGAGATATAAATATTGTGTATAGCACTCAAGATGATACTAAATAGTACTATATAGTCTACAGCTTTACAATAGATCTATGAGAATCTTAAAAACCTTTTACCGTATTGGAGAATTTATTACAGCCTGACAGAAGTACCAAAAGCGGTATATTTGTGAAATATAACGTAACAAAAATATATGCTAAAGATGTTTTATGCGGCTATAAGAGTTTTTAAGCTTTCCTGTATTAAAATTAATACAGTAAAGGCTGTAAAGACCTTTAATAATTTCACGAATTATTAATTATATTGTCTTGCGTCTGATAATAAAATGAATTCAAATTACTAATGAACTCTAAAATGTTTCGATAGTAAAATGGTTCTTAAAGTGCCCTTGTTCCTTGAAATTTTCGGTAATTGCAGATCTAAAAGCTCTATTATAATTATCACTAGCGCCGTACTAATTCTAAAAACCGTTAAGATGGCAACATAAACCGGTAAAAGTTGCCATTACCTGGCAATATTTGATGAACTATGTATGTCAATAAAACAATACTTTTTTTGTTAGAGCATTAGAAAAATAATTTTTCTAATGCCATACATAAGAAAAATGCATTTGTTACATTTCATGCACTAATAAATTGATCACAAGTTCCAATAACTCAATCAAAAAGGAACTCAAAATTAACCTTAAAATTTTAATGCGAGCGCATGAAAAATTTGGGTTAATCAATGCATATTTTGACAGAAAACTGATTTTCGCACTAATATTCTACGTCGATCCATTTGAAAGAATATTTGTCATTTATGTTCTGACTCTAATTCTTATAATAACTATATTATAGGTACATCATGTAGAAAAAATACCTTAGAGATGATTTAAGATTTAGTTACGAGTTACAGTCGCGTCGCAATCATGTGCAATTTCTATAAAGGTGGCACAAGAACTTCTTGTATATCTTTTAGCTTTAAAAAATCACATTTTACACAGCTTTCTATTGCTTTACAAACTCACTATAACGCTATTGTGCCACTGTTCTAGCACTGAAGCCCGTATAAAGTGGGCTATTTTCAGTGGCATAGAAGCGATTGAGAAGTTCTCTATTCGGTAATGTAGCATACATTTAAGAAGCTAAAGCCATTACATATATCTATTAAGCGGCTCCAATAGTGCTTTGTTACGCCACTTGTGTGCTACTTGGGAAAGTGCCATCACTCAGAGAAACTCCGAGCATAGCCCTCTCAATAGCTCGCTGAGTGAACTTGATATTACATGTTTCAGTACACAAATATTAGAGAGTATATAATGGAGTATATATAGATATTAGATTTAAATTTATACGAAATTCAGATATATTATAGCATATTTATAATATATATTAATTAGCATTTGAAAATTTTCTATTAAATCTTCCGTTATTGATATTTTGTGTTACTTTTGCAATTTTGCTTTCACAATTTTATCAGAAACAGATCTTGCCAAACTAGAAAATAGTGACCAAAAGAGAGAAACTGTTAAATTTATGTAAATGTTTCATTATTATAATTACGAGTAAAGTAACAACCTGTAAATGTCCCACTGCTGGGCACAGGCCAATCCCGATACGCTGATTTCCTAATGACAAATGGCGGTGTCCCTATGTCCCCAGTTTCTAAAGTTAAGCATAAAGTTTGCAGTAGCCCTAAACAAAATCATTAAATTTCCCGTGATTTAATAACAATGAATAAGAAAAAAATAAAAAAAATACAAGTTACACAAAATGTGTAAATTATGCTTCCTCGGTATAGTACTTGCCTAGGGCAAGCAATACTTATACTTTATTGACTTTTATCTTGACATTTGACGCCTTCCCCTTTCTGTAGGTGATATCCTATTTCATACAATCCGTTCTCTTCTTAATATTGTTATTCTTCTGAGAAGTTACCCAGGGGCTTACTTCTGTGCTGCAATTAGATTTAGGTCCCGGTTTAAGCTAAAATCACAAAATTTGTTATAGAAATAGGAACATAAATGCGCCTAATACTAAACTCAATAGGTCAAGTCCGTCGCAGGTGCTATAAAACAAGTTGCTATTTATTCTGTTTCAAAAATATTCACAGGTTAAGTTGATTGGATAAACAGGAACACTAAGTCAAAATAGAAGCCGTTTCATCCTTCATGGATATCACTTGACAGACGCCAAAGCGGTGATGGCTGGGTGACATCGCAAAGCTTATCGGAGGTTAGCGGTACGTCTCAGATGCTGGCGATAGTTAAAGGAGAAGGAGGCCTTCGCATAGCAGTGGGACATACTGCTAGACGTACATCGTTATTACTTTAAAAGCTCGTGTTACTTAAAAACACTAAAATGCGATTTAATACGCAAATGTATTAAGCGAACGGACTGTTATTTACCTTGTCTTGTTTTGTTTGTCTTGATTGGGATTTTAGAAACATTTTGTTTTTTATTTGTATTTACTGTAAGCTTGCGAAAATATTGTTGATTTGGAAATATTTTTTGTGCATGTCTAAAACAACATTATGCTGAAGCGTAAAAATAATAAATATTTAAATGACCACATATAATGACTAGTTTGTATTGATTTTTAGGGAAAACCGTTTGAGACTTTCGAGGATATGCCTGGGTGAGTAAATTTTTATTATTATTGTATTTGTGTATTATATATTATCGCTATAGTATAATGTCTTTTTAAATCATGGTATTGCTCAAAGATAATACCAGTCATCTTGGGCTTAAAATACTGTTTTGTGCAGGATTTCATAAAATACTGCGCTTGATACCAGATTGTATTTCTGAACTCTTATAGCCAACCCACTTAGATATATGATTTTTTTAAAGAATGAGTTGACAAACGAACACACAGTCTACGTGATGGTAAGTGCATGCTGTGCCCCATAGCTACATTTATCCTGGGTTAAGAATCAAAATGCGGATCAGGTGTCGCCCCTGAGGATTAAGATGGAATGTCTCGTTTCCAGTAAAAAGGATGTCTGGTTCTCTACACTCAACACACCTACACAGCAATATTAAGCTGCTACTTAACATTTTCTTATAGAATAAGCTGGTATTTTTAAATTATAGCTTTTAAATGCACTGCATAGGTTTACCCCCTTTCCTTATCTATGAAAGAGTAACGGAACAGCAAAGGGTTAAAAATGAACGCATAAAATGACTTATTACAATGTATGTGTTGTATATATATATTTCAAATTGCTATAAAAAAACTACTATGACTCGTGATCATGCAACTTATAACAATTAAAGCTTAAAAATTATCAGTTGCTTGTGTTACTTCAATTCAATACATTTTCATGTTTGCTTCCACAGAACCAACATGGATTTACGCATGGCTCTAGAAGACTGCGAGAAGGCTATCAACAAGTTCTTTAGTACCTATCTTGAAAACGCTATGGATATCATGAAAGTGTGGTACGTCAGAATTTACAATATTTGTAACGTAAAGCTTACATACAAAAAATCTTTTGATTCATCAGATTCAGATTGTATTTTTGTAGTGAAAACTTCTTTAGCGGCGTTGTACACTTTTTTGTAATGGGTAAAAAATGCTAAACTCGCGTCAGGACACGTGACCTGATCGAAAATTCGTAAGGCGGACGGCGTAGGATAGGAAGTATCCCCGTCTCTTTCTGCGGTGCGGCGAAAATGTATGCCTGCGCCTGCTGTTTCGTTTAGGCGACGCAGGGAGCTTGCGCGAATGTAATATAAATTGTCATGTTTGTCATGTTATAAATTGTTAAATATTGTATTCTACCACATAAATGATAGTACTTTTGTACTGATAATTAAAGCAATTCGTGCAAAATTATTCCCTAACTATTCCAAAATATCAAAAATGCACAACGTTAATATTCAAGTTTTCACTTCTGCCGGCACTCCCGGAGTGCAACCCGTCGTTTTATTTTTGTAAATATTAAATCTCACTTCTCCTTATTCTTCTTCTTTGACTTTTTCATCATTTCATTACAGTTCATTGCTGGGTATGGGTTTCTCTCGTATAAGAAAGAATCATTTGAAGATTATTGATCACAGTGTCAGAATTCTCGAAGCGTGGCGTTACTCCCCATCGCTGATATATGTCTTTTACTCCTGGTACCGCTAGACGGTTATATTGTCACCTATCTGAAGTTATAACTTCTTTTAGGTTTTCCCGTTCTCGGTTCTTCCGATTCCAAGAGAACGTCTACTGGGGTTCGAGGGTCGGAGTGATGGATTCGCCTACGTCAAAATCTTGTTTAAAAGTTTGACCCTATTAATGATTTCTTTTATGGGCGCGAACACTAGACATTGAATAAAACTATTTTTACGGATTTTATCGCTTTTAATTTAAAAAAAATTAATTTCTGAAATTTCGGGTACTTTGCCGCACCCATGGTCCCTACTGGACGGGACTGAGGTAATTGACGTCCCGATGTCAAAATTAACCCGGAGTACTTTCAGGTTAAAAATAAGCAAAATTAAGGGTGACAAAAATTCGTAAAGATAGTTTTATTTAGTTTAAGCCTCTATTTATTTATTTCACCAGGAACACTACAATGTACCACACCTTGGGCGCGTCCGTTGTGGAATTCATTCCGCCACAACATTCGTACACAGCCAACACTTTGGCTGTACTCAAGAATATGCTGACTCTCTGCCAACAATATCACGACTCATCTGCTCTTGATGATGACCACGACGATTTGGTGTTCAAGATGGTACGTAAACGTAAATATTGCTACTGTATTTTTTCTGAATTATATTTACCATACTGAATATTTTGACTGCCTCTTTATTCTAGTGGTCGTAAATTCGATTTCCTATCATGAGGTCCGGGGTTCGAATCCCTGGTCGAGCTAAAAAATGAGTTATTGGGGTTTTCTGTAAGAATTTCTCAGTAGCAGCCCAGAAACATGTAGTTGGCGATGTTTCACCCCCGTAGAAAGCACGTAAAGCCGTTGAACCTGCGCCTGATTTCTCTACGGACGTATTGAATTACCATCCTATCGGACTATAAGAGTGAGGAAATAGAGAGTGCACCGGTGCTTGCGCATACACTTAGGGCTTTGGGCACTATAATCCTGTCGTGCGCAGATGGCTTAGTCATCAGGCTGTTTTAGCGAAGACCAGTCATGGCACAGCTGAAATTTGAAATTTCTTGCTTGTGTAGAAAATTTGCTTTATTTACACTTGCTTGTTACACGTGATCGTTAATACATGGTAGAGCCACGCTCCGGCTATATTATGGTTATAGCATGATTGCGTCGGTTCGACTGGGGCAGGAACACACTCACACAGAGTACCATCGTAACATAACAACTTAATGGTGCTGTGCACGCTTGGCACGCGGAAAGGCAACCGCAGTTTTTTTTTATTTTTAGTCTTTATTAGGAAGACGCTACTGTCCATCTCCTGATTTGTTTTCCTCATTCGCTCCTTACGACACCCACGGGATGATATGGGGTAGTGGATAATCTCACACTGCCATTTATAACGCATCTGCATTACTTCGTAATCCGGGATAGATTTAGATGTCTATGGGCCACGGCATTCACTTATCTGTGCCCGTTTGTCACCCCTATTAAAAATACTTACAGTCGTGTTTTATCACGCATCGTGCACCTGACCTTAGGGGACTTACAACAAGATGTTCCGTGTGTCCGGAGATTCGTCTTTTTTTACCCTTCGTGGTACGTAGAACCATGCTACAGCTATGTTATAATTTATGACGTACCTACGTCCAGCTTTATAATAGAATAAGGATTACCTTTATGAAATAAAAATGCCCTTTTATAAAAATTTTGGCATTTTTAATTTAGAACAACTTCGTCTCAATGACCGATGTGGAAGCGCAAGCGCAGCTGTGCCAGGTCTAGTTCACACTGCTGCAGGCGGCCCAACGCGTGCTAGAGGGCCGTGACCTTGCTAGCTTATTTCACGCTACCATTACTGTTAAGGATTGCTGTAATTCATTAAAGTGAGTGATTGTTCTTTATTTTTATTTATTTTTCTACTTCAGCATGTGAAGCTCCGCTGCTGCACATGAGCCTCTTTTGTTTTTAAAAGCATTTGACGAGGTAATTGACGGTCGCAGTACCGGATGTCTCGTACCATGGACGATACCGCCAGTCGAACTCGACGTATGTCTGTGAAGGAAATGATAACCACCAAATATTGAAAACAAAAAGATTGTTCGTTTCTTCTGTTATTCCCAATAGTTGCTTAGATAGATTTGGCTCAAACAGAGTTAATTCTCATGGGCCGTCACTGTACGACTACGGCTGTTTTTTTATTCTTAAGAAATAGGGCTTAGAAAAATTTTAAAATTGTCAAATTCTCTAATGGAAGTACCACGATCTGCAAATATTTTATCACGGTTTTAGAACGAATGGTTCGTCTCGACTGGGAAACAATAATGGAGCATAATTTACTGTGTGCCGTGAGATACCATAGGAACCGGAAACACTTTTTACTGGGTTGATCTCAGGAAGGACAACGCTTCTGCAATACTCGTATGATTCTTAAATATGGATGTACGTTGGTATTATAGGCTACTGTCCATTTACCGTTAAGTGGACATTGTGATCGTTCGTCGCTCTCTAAAAAAATCCGTATAGGAATATTTTCAATATCATTATTACCACCTATGAAATCAAGCTTCCCACATAGATTCGAAAAAGCTAAATATAGCAGTAATCACTAGTAAAACGTTGTAGTTTTCCGCGTGGTAGAGCCGCGCTGTAGCTATATAATGGTTGAAGCACGAATGGGTCTGCTCAAACGGGGCATGACCGCGCTCTTAGAGAATACCAACATATATTAGCAAGTAATGCTGGTGTGTTTCGCATGGTGAGTATAGAAAACCGGAGACCCTTTTTACTGGAAACGAAGCAATCCATGTTTATCCTCAGGGGTGACAACGCATGTGCATTTTAATTTGTAATCTGAAATAGATGTAGATATATATGGATGACAGTATAAGCATACTAGTGAACTGTGTGCTCGTTTGTCAACCTTATACTATAAATAAACGTAGCGGAACACCTCTTCTGTCTAAAAGTCTGTTTGGAGGGGAGAAAGGGACGTACCTATGTCCCTCTTAAGATTTTCCGTTAGGCATTGTTACTTGGCTTTTGTGATATGAAGAGTGTAGAGAGCCAGTTTGATAACAAGATGTGAGGTATTCCATCATATTTAGTGGTGACAACGCATATGTAATCTTCTTTGTGTGATATCGGCAGTTTTATGATACTTTGTAAGAGAGTGGACTGCGATCCGCCCCAGCTTCGCACAGGTGATTTCTGAATCTCGACAATAGCACCACCTACCAGGTCCTATGTGAATCTAAAACATTCGGGGACCCACTCAACCACGTACAAAAATGGCATAAAAATCGACCAGCCATTTAGGGAAATTCATTGACAAACACATGTACTAAAGAATTATGTATACAAAGATGAAATTTTGGGGTTGATTTTCTTTTCATGTATACTGTTTTTAGGTATTGTGTCACATTCCTTAAGAAGACATGGGTGTCTCAAGAGTCACTTCTGCGTTTCAATAATGGGATACGCCTCGCATTCGCTGGCATCCACATCATAACAACGGTATTGCTTCCAAGACTCGTCATTGCATTTGAGAGTTTGGGCCTCTCACACCTCACGGTAAGAAATTTACTTTCATTATTACATTAGTCTGCGTAAATTGCACTCCACAGATTATAAATGAGGCGGGAGCCTTTTTGACATCACACAATTGCATAATTATATCAATTTATAATTTATACGAATTCGTGTTGGTCAAATCAAATAAATGTTTCTTTTTTCTATGTTTCTTCCACTAAATGGAATGACAACCCGCAGAAGAAGAGAGTAAAAGAGTAAGAGTTGCATGAAGTTGATGGATCCTGGTAGCTCAGGTCCTTGCTTTGTGGTATACCTTTGGGAAGGGTTCAGCATAGGTCTGCTGAAAGGCTGTAATGATGACGATAATGATGATGTCACATTATAGTTGTTTGAATAACCATTTTTTTTTTCATTTATTTAGATGTCTCCCATAGATGACCTATCTTGATAGGGGCGATATTTGCCAAATTTGACACGCTCGGCATACGCAGTTTTTTATTACTAGTTAGTTGGTGTAAAAGAAACGTTTATTCAGTCATCATCGGAAGCTATGATTTCGGACTAAAAGGGATTCTTTTCCAACTCGAACCGTTTAAGGCATATATAATACATAATCTAATAATATTTATTCTATGATAAATACTTGTTATGTTCAGTTCAGGATACATCAATTGTATTTATAATTGCAGGATTCCCGCCTGGCAGAGCTGCAAGCATGTATACGCCACCCGAACTATAGAACATTGCTTTGCCAGTCTATGTCATTGATCTGTAGACAGGCCACACGCTACTTCATTGGTTCGATATCTGTCATCGATCTGTGCCAACGTATAATGGAGGTATTATAAATATACGGAAATACCCGAGACTAGTAATCCATTTATATGACAATATATTTAGAGGCTCTCCAATAAATTTAATCAAAAGTTATCTGAGTGGTAGGATGCAGGAAGTTAAAGTTGGTAGTTTTGTGAGCAGCGATACTGACTTAACTTTTGGGATACCACAGGGCTCAGTTCTTGGGAACACCTTATTCCTACTTCACACTAATAAGCTTTGCAGTATGTCCTTAAATTCTACCAAAATCTTCTTTTACGCTGATGATACTGCCATGGTCATTACTGGCAACTCCTGGGACACTATCGCAAGGAACGCGGAATATGCACTTTTTTCTACTGCTCTATGGCTAAGATTAAAACAACTTTCGCTAAATATAATAAAGACTAATTTTATGTGTTTCTCCATAAGCAATAGAACGCAACCGAACCCAGATTACAGTCTCACGATACATAATTGCCGTCTTCCAAATGCCAGTGACCCCATTACGATGTACATATTATAGCTAATATTGAACGAGTTCAGAGATTACGACATGGTAGAGTCATACTGCAGCTATATTGTGGTTGCAATTCGTGTTGCACGGGTAGGCTCAACTGGGGTAGGAACACGCAGAATTTCAGCGTAAAATAGCAGCTTAAAACTGCTGTGTTTCGTATGGTGAGTGTAGAGAACAGGACACCCGTTTTACTGGAAACGAGGCATTCCATCCCAGTCCTCAGAGCATTTTGATTTAATTGAAGATAAATGTAGATGTCTATGGGCCACAGTATCCACTCACCATCAGGTGGACTGTGTGCTCGTTTGTCAGCCTTATTCAACAACAAAACAATTCTGCGAGGTTTAGACGTGGATTGATCTGTCAGTTTCTATCGTATAACGAAAAAGTGAATTACTTTGGAGTTACGAAATTAGATAAACGTTGACAATATTAGAGCTTCTATACCTTCACAAAATCATTCACTCCTCTATCGATTGCCCGAAACTGCTTAATTTAATAAGTTCTTAGGATAGATCTAGTTTGCGTAATTGCTATGTTAAATATGTAAGTTCCACGAATATCATTAAATAAGTTTTTTAACTGCCTCTCATACTATGTATTATTAGTTTTTCAAAATGTACTTTTCACATTTTGTCTTGCTGTGCACACTTAATGAGATTATGGACTAGTCATAATATTAAATAATATTAGTTACTGTAACTGTGTTATGTAGTGTCCAATATGTTTATGCCTTATTAACAAAATAAATAAGTTAATAAATAAAATAAATCTTAAAGTAGCCATTAATTTTTTGTTGGTCAATGTGACTAGAAGTATTCCTACAGCGTGTTGTGTATATTATAATCTTGTTCCTCATGTCTATGTTTCATATGTAAAATAAATCATAAAGTTGTCTATAATTTTTTAAATGGTTAAATAACTTTTGCATTTCTTATATTTTCATCTGACGTAATTTAGTAATTCAAACTCCAATTTAACTTTTGTTTATCGCTTTTCTTAACTAGTCATTGAAGCTCAGAGCAGTGACGTTGCATGAGTTCGTGTAGGCTAGAGGCTATGAAGAGTATTGAGATACAGTATAATTTCAGGATGTGATGCATTCCATCATAGTCAGAGGTGAAAACACATCTGTTACCTACTTTGATAGAAGTTGGTTGTGTTTGGAAAATTGAGCCCCTGAGGATTTGAAACAGCTTAGGATGTTACAGCTTGTTCTAGATACAATTTACTTCTTAATATCTTAATGTCTTCAAAATGAAAATAAAATAAAATCTATTTTATTTGGCAATAGATACGCCCATTAAGTGTTCGAGTATTCCACGAAACCGAAATCTGCATGCTGCATCAGTATGTGCGTGCAAGGATCGCCGAAGATAAACTGTACCGAATCGCTACCACTCTGCAGACGTTCAGAGAACTCTATCAACGTTACGACGTGCAACTTGAAATGACAACCAAGTAAGTGGTAGAACCGCGCTTCAGCCATATTATGGTTGTAGCACAAAAGAATCGGCCCAACCGGGGAAGGACTACGCTCTCACAGAATACCATCGTAAAATAGCAGCTTAATGTTGCTGTATTTTGTATGGTGAGTACAGAGAATGTGAATACTTGAGAAGCATCAACTTTCTAATAAAATATAGATTTGATCATAAGTATTTAATTGATTTCGACTTCATTGATGATGTTCATATTTTATTTATTATATTGAAGTCGGTTGTACAAATTTTTAAAATTTACCATTTGTAAAATTCTGTGGGGGATTTCCATTAAAGTTATTGCGTCTTTAACAGATACAGTAGCACCTTATCTGTCTATTATTTTTAATACTAGTATCGAATCTGTTGTGTTTCCTGATTTAATGAAGCATAATAAGGTAATACCTTTATTTAAATCTGGTAGTACATTGGACCCCGCCAAATTTAGACCTATTTCTGTACTACTTCACTTAGTAAAATTTTTGAAATAATTATTCTTGATAAAATGTAAAAAAATGGAAATAATTAACTACATAAAAATCAATTCGATTTCAAAAGGGTTCGCTTGAAAATGGATACTGGTGTTGAGCTGATTAAGTGTATTCTATGCATGAAAGAATTCACAGGATGATGTGGGTATATTCTGTGACCTATCCAAGGCCTTCGATCGTGTACACCATGAAACATTAATCAGGAAACTTCAACACTACGGTGTAAGAAGTGATTAAATTAATTATCTCATATTAAGTAACAGAACGCAAAAAGTTGTGATTAATAGTATGAGTTGTTCCGGGTCGATAATACAAATGGACGTGTCTCCAGGCTCAATTCGCGGCCCCTTTCTGTTTCTTGTATATATTAATGACTTACCTTACATAGTAGGGAATAACCATCACATGGTATTATTTGCTGACGACATTTCATTAATTTTCAAATTAAAAGGACAGTTACCAAATTATGACGAAATAAATAATGCCATATCTAAATTAGTAAATAGGTTTAATGTTAATAATTTGCATTTAAATGGCACTAAAATAAATGTTTGTAATTCATAACTCTGAAAGTCAAAAATGTTAATATCAATGTATTTTTAAATGAGGAAAAGCTGTCTTGTTGATACCAACATTTTTCTTGGAATCACACTAGACGCAAAACTTCAATGGAGCACCCATATATCAAAACTGATAATTCTGCAGCATATGTTACCAGTGTTGAAACAGTTAGACCTTAGCTACTTCCATAGCTGACTTGACTTTTTTGACTGCCTCGTTGGTCTAGTGGTTGTAGTAGTGCGACTGCTGATCATGAGGTCCTGGGTTCGAATCTCGGGCTGGGCCAAAAAATCAATTATTGAGTTCTTCTGTCAAGAAATTCTCAGTAGCTGCCCGGAGTCAGGAAGTAGGCGTTGTCTCATCCCGTGCCTCGGAAATCACGTAATGTCGTTGGTCCTGCGCTTGATCTCTCTACGGTCGCGTCGGTTTACCGTCCCATTGCATTATGAGAGTGAGGGAATAGAGAGTGCACCTGTGCTTGCGCATACACTTGGGCACTATAATCCTGTCCTGCGCCGATGGCTAGCCTCCGTTGTGGTAGGCCGCCGTGGCCGAAATTCGGTCTGGAGGACATTATTTCCATAGCATAATGTCGTATGGTATTTTGCTATGGAGACACGCTACTGTCACTGAAATTATATTTGTTTTACAGAAGAAGACCATTAGAGCAATCTATAATTTAAAACTTAAAAAATTGCTGAGACAAAATTTTAAGGAAATTAATATATTAACTTTGGCCTCTCAATACATTTATGAAAATGGAATGTACACAAAAATAAAGTTAGTTTTACAAAAATAAGTGATATTCATTTTGTAGATACTAGTAACAGACACAAGCTATTAGTAGATACCATTGGCTCTATGTCCTCAGGGTTGACAACACACCTGTATTTTGATTGTTAATCTTAGTCGAGATATAGATGTCTATGGATAACGCATCAGGTGCACTGTGTGCTCATTTGTCAGCCTTATTTTACAAAAAAAATCCGTTAATTTTATAGCTGTAAAAGCGACAAACGAATTCTTAGTCCACCTGGTAGTAAATAAGTCAGTAATAATTTTCGCCCACCGGGCGTAGCTAGTTGGAAACTAAGTGATTTTATATATCACGGAAAAGGATTACACAGTGGTCATTTTGCTGGAATCGAGGCATTCATTCATTCCATCTTAATCCTCAGGAATGAAAACGCATTTGCATTTTGGTTCTTAGTTGAGGATAAATGTTGATGTCTATGGGTCACAGCATCTATTTACCATTAGGTAGACTGTGTGCTCGTTTGTCATCGAATGCTATATAAAAAAGAAAGGAATATCCGAAGTTTGGTTTATTCATAATTTATTAATATAAAATATGTCTAATTTTTTTAAGATAGAAACATCAATCTCTGCAGTTTTCTTACAAATAAAGGTCAAACATCCTGTAATCTTGACTGATAGATATTATACCTCATTAGAAAGCGGCACCACTGTTGTGGCAGAAAAACAAGTGGATGCCATCATTGATGATGTGGCCCACAGACATCTACATACATCCTCGATTCAATCACAAGTATGAATAAACACAACTTGAGATAATCAGCGAGTAAGTTTCTGGTTTATTTTATAGGTTTAAAGATGAGAATCCAGACTATACTCTCACAGAATACCGAAATAAAATGGCGGCTTAGTGTTGCTGCATTACGTAAGATGAGTGTAAAAAACCCGAAACGCTTTTTACTGGAAACGAGACATTCCGTCTTAGTTTTCAGGGATGCAACGCATCTGCATTTTTCGATTCTTAAATAGAGTATAAATGTAGATGTTTAGCATAGCATCCACTTATCATCGGGTGGACTGTGTGCTAGTTTGTCACTTATTTGACATACTATAAAAAAACATAGCACTGTGAAAGTAGCTGAAATAAACCAACATTTATGTATTTACAAAGTGTAGCTTAATCTTTATTTTAATTATTGTGTGTATAGTACGCTGAATCATTGGCTGCGAGGAGTGCAGCGACTGTACCGTATCTCCAAAATCTGTAACAGCCGCCATGCTCGCGCTTTGGAGTCTCTCAATTTGATGAAGGAGCTCCATGATGGGTGCTGCAGGGAGATCAAGTGGGAAAATCGGTAAGATACTTGGAGAACATCATAGGTCCGCAGTTCGAAAATGTATTAGGGCCTATGTACACTGCGTATTTTAACACGCTAACGACGCACGTTTTACGAATGTGCGCTGTATTGTGTGCGCTCAGCGCTGTAGATGACTAAAAAGCAGATAGTCGCTTTTGTATCGATTTAAACGCGCGTACTAAGTTATCGCGTTTGTTTATGAATTGTCAGAGAAAGGGTTTTGGGGGAGAGGTATTTCTGTTCTAAAAGTTTTATTTTTAAAACGTGTGCAAAGGTTTACAGTTTGCGTCTGAATTTCGTTTAAAGTGTGTTCGCGCGCGTTATCTACACGTCGTCAGTGCGTCAAAAATACGCCGTGTGCAGAGGCCTTTAATTATTGAGTAGTAGTTGTAAGGGGCCACAGAAGGAAACAAATCAGGAGGTGGCTGCAGCGTCTCCCTAATAACGACTAAATAAGAAACTGCGGTTCCCGACCCGCGTGTCTAGCGTGGCAACTATGGCAAATATCCCTCTATGAGTTAATCAAGGTAAATATTATGTGTGTGTGTGTGTGTGTGTGTGAGTTTATCTATAAGAAATACTGTGTCTGTGTATATTAGCTTATATACCTCACTGTGCATGGGATCTCCAAAAATATACCAAAAAGAAACGGCTACAAAATCCTAAGGCGCCGTCCACCCTCGCTCGTGCCATCATGAGTGCATTCGACGAAAACGATCTTTGGTTAATATTACTAACAGTAAAAATTGTTACTAATATACTTACACTAAATGTGGACTAATTAATATTTGAAATAAATTTATAAAGTCAGCAGTCGTCAAGTTCTGTCGTTTGTGCACACTAAAACAATTTTGTTGTCTGTAAAAGGTAAAATTCCGCTGTATGGAGTGTAGAGGTATGTAGTCTTTGACTAGAGAAAAAAGAAAGGGCATGACATACCAAAGATGGCGGCTTGACGTAGTACTGCGCACTATACTTAATATCAATAATGTGGCGCTTATTTAGAAAAAGATACGTTCGTGTGATTCGTCTCAAACAACCGTGTGTGCTTAGATATTTTTTTTTAATCAATATGACGGATTTTTTCACCAAATTGTAACTCCTTAATTTTTTTACTCAAGTTATCGATTGGGGTATCCAAATAAAGGAAATTAAAAGGAGATTACTGAAGTATACACAAGTTACACCTATGTTATCAGTTCATTAATTTTAAGCAGTCGTTTTTTTATTTTTATAATGTAAGTATCTATTATTAATGTAACAATTATATCCCGGGAATTACTAAACAAGTAATACTAATTAAAGAATTTTTGTTTGTTTGTTCGACAATAAATTAGACTCAGTCATAATACTCACACTAATTAAACTACAATAAATGCAAAAGTTTGAATGCTTGTTTATTCCTCAATCACGCCAAAAGTATCCGACCAGTTTGAACGTAATAATTTGGCACGCAAATAGTTTATTACCTGAACTAACATATAAGATACTTTTTATCCTATTTTAGAGGTCCCGATGAATAGAATAAGAAATTTCGTAATAATCGAATTCCACGAGAAAAACATATGAGAATAACACACTCACCTCACTAAAGTCGCAATGACAACTGATATACTTGTCATTGACTGTGACAAAACATGGCGCCTGGCCACAGCGAAAAAATTATTGCCATATTCGATAATAATAAAACTACTGTTGTCCTTTTTTAAATACGAATATACTCATAAGCTCAAAAGAGGTACCGATATTTCGTTACATTCCTACAACTAACGGTCTTTATGTCATGTCCTTTCTTTTTTCTCTAGTCTAAGTATATAGTTCATAAAAGATAGCTTGATCTCTGCGACAGCTTTCAGTAAAATCACGCCTATGAAGTCCTGAATTTCTTAGTAGTACAGACAGTACCTGTCAATGTCATACTTTATGGGCAGGTAAGTGACTACCGCCGCCCATGAACGAAGAAGGTAGTCGAATACACAAGAAAGTTGTGCGAGGAAGAAACTTCTTGTAAATCGCACAGTGGTGGACCGCCAATCATCCAGATGGTATGGATGGTATCGCGAGTTTTGTCACGATGTGCGATGGTGAAATTAAGCAGCTGAAATTAGTCTGAACAATTCCTCTGAGCACTCCCCGTGGTAGATGCAACATCTCTTCGCAGCGCCAGTGAGTCAAGACGATTTGAAAGAGCTTGGTCGCCCACGATTCGAACCGCTCTGCATTGGATGTGATCAAGTGGAATAAACTGGCACTGGGGTACCCCGGCCCAGAGATGAGAACAGTATTCCATGTGAGGCCGAACTTGCGCCTCGTAAAGTTGTAATCGGTGTGCCCGCATTCATTTCGTTTCCAAGTGACCGACTAAAATTGAGTGAAGACCAAAAAAAAACAGTTATCGAATTGCGGATTCAAACTCACAATCTTTGAGTTCGCGGTCTACACTGTATTCTATCTCATTCTCTCGTAGGCTAAATCCTATAGATGTATATGTTTGTCTCCTTTTAGTGTCGCTTTTTCGTTTCATGGGACAGTAGTTTAAAGTGCAGCTGGGGTTGCCTTTAAAGCCTTAAAGTATTTAAGAAATAATATAGAAAGAATTGAACTTTTTTATTTTAAAATTATCGTACGAATAAGTATTTTTTATTTATACGATTATCGTACGAATAATTTATTTAATCATACGATTATCGTATGATTAGCAACAGCTGACAAAAATTAGTTGCTAATCACCTTATCGTTTTATTTTAGGGTAATGGTGAAATGGCAACGAATCGCTCAGTTACTTCGCAGGAGTGCGGTGCCGAACGAACCAACATATCTTCGTTTATTGAGCTTCTTACGCACGTTGCAACAAAATAATTTTCGCTGCTTCAATGAGCTTCTATCTGCCAGATCGTAAGTGATGGTGATAAACTTTCTAACTACTGCGCCAGGGCCCATAAGAAGGGCCATATTTTTTAAGGTATATTTATATGTTTGACCGATCTACGTTCGCATAGAGCAACCATCGGCGAACCAGAGAGGAATAGCTGTCTGTCTGTAACTCTCTGTTTTCTTTGCGGGGGTAGTCTGCGCACTCGAAACATATTGTGTGTCACGACGAAACACACACGTAACAAATTAATAAAATAAACTAACAATTTCACATGCATGCTTACATTATAAAATTATTTATTATCATTATTATCTTAATTATCGCTCGGTGACAGCGTCTACTCGGATACAGGGTCGTATCAGCCGGATGAGGGCGAGCGGTCTGTGTTGTAAAAGTCTGAAACAACATATCCCTTTCAGAACGACTTGTAGTAATCGTGCGTTGATGTTTAAAAATTTTTACGGATTACTGAATTTTATTTAACCGCGCGGAAACTATTTCGATCGTTTGTGCGTTGATTTCGCCATATAATGCGGAAGGTTGCGTGGGAGTAGACCATATTAGTGGCGTGTTGTGACGTATTGACGTATATATTAGTAAATTATTTTTCATTATAATATGTCATATTTATTATTTTTCATATCAAAATAATTAATTTTAATGTTTACGTACAGTAATGTAAAATAATCCTAGCAAATTTATAAATTTTACGAAATTTAAACGCACAATCGTGCGTTGTCGTTTTTACTTTTTAATTGCTTTACGTTAGTTAAATGTTCACACATTTCTTCCATCGATCAGGCGTGACTTTTGCAATACCGTCACTTAATAATGCCTTAACTTTTTCAAATTTAAACGTAGTATTGTTTTCCCGAACGTTGGCGAACCCGTCTTGACCCTGATATGTTTTTGCCGGGAAAACGTTACGACACAAGATGGAAAGAGATAGATAATAGATTGTCAACTCCACAGTCGTTTTTCAAGGTAAATGACCTTTTGTATCGCTGCTAGTTGGCCGCACTATAGTTTACTACACATTTCGTCACGCGTACCGGTACATTCGGATCGATCATTCAAATGGATAATTTCGGACTTCAGTACCCTACACTAAAAACATTCGGGATTCGGTCGGTTTTCGACTCATTCACAATTTACCCCAACGATTTAAAATGGTTCCGTCAATTGTTTGTGATTGCTTGCACCGGAACATTCAAATACAGATGAATGAACCATCAATACTTTTAAGTGTAACAGCTCAATTGAACGAATCATTCATGATTGACACGTCTAGTAGTATTTTGATTTAGCTTTTAGTAAAATATATTACGGCTCCATGGCGCAGTGGCTTAGAAATGAGTTGTAGCGCTGGGGGCCGCGGGTTCGAATCCCGCACTTAACAAGTATGTTATTAACGATTTAAAATGGTTCCGTCAATTGTTTGTGATTGCTTGTACCAGAACATTCAAAAACAGATGAATGAACCATCACTACTTTTAAGTGTAACAGCTCAATTAAACGAATCATTCATGATTGAGACATGTCTAGTAGTATTTTGATTTAGCTTTTAGTAAAATATATTACGGCTCCATGGCGCAGTGGCTTAGAAATGAGTTGTAGCGCTGGGGGCCGCGGGTTCGAATCCCGCACTTAACAAGTATTTGTATGACCTACAAATAATTTTTCCGGGTCTGGATGTTTGTCCTTTTGCAATTATATATGTTTGCAATTATGTATTATTTGTTTGTAAACTTTCTGTGCGATACAGGAGACCAACCTAGTACGGAGGTGACGTAAAACTTGAAAAAAAAATGATAAGGCATTGTATCATTATTTTGCAGCGTCATGTTGTCCCTACGTTCGATGACTACGCAGCTGCACGAGCGATGTATTTACACTTCAGAACATTGTAGAAGTTCATCCCACGTTTTACGTTTGTGGAGAAACATCAACTTCCGATTCAGCGAAGACGTCGCGTGGGGAAATGAGTAAGTGATTCTGTTTTTGTGTTTATTTATTATTCCATATCCACTACCCCATATCATCCCGTGGGTGTCGTAAGAGACAGCAGAGGGAAATAAATCAGGAGATGGGCACCAGCGTCTTCCTAATAACGACTAAAAAATCTTTTCTAATGAAGATTTCTAATAAAAAACTGCAGTTACATAGGTCTATGTTCAGCAGTGGACTTTAAGAAAATGTAACAGTAAAGAAGCAAAGATGATATGAACTTTGGTCAAAGTTCAAGTGGTAAACTTTTTTATTGTCCACGTACTCTATTTTGGCCGGGCTGACGTTGACTTTTGCACATGTAAAGACGCTAGTCGATAGAGATGTGCCACTTCATATTCGCTCCTAACATAGGAAGCAGTTTGTTTTGTGTATATCAATTATATCGATTATTGAAAATGATTATTGTAATGAAAATATCTTTATGTATTTCAATAAAACAATATTATATCTAAATCTAATAAAGAATTACTACATATTGAATATATAATAAATACACGATATTAGCAGGGACAACAAATTCTTTCAGTAACCCCAAAATAATATAATAATGTCCGCCGGACCGAATTTAACGGAGACTGCTTTAACGGAGACTAGCCATCGGCGCAGGAAAGGATTATAGTGCCCACGTGTATGCGCAAGCACAGGTACACTCTCTATTCCCTCACTCTCATAATCCGATGGGATGGTAAACCGACACGACAAGAGAAAGATCAGGCGCTGGACCAGGGGCTTTACGCGCTCTCCGAGGCACGGGGGCGAGACACCACTAACTTCCTGACTCCAGACAGCTACTGAGAATTTTTGGACGGAAAAACTCAATAATTTATTGAAATACATAAACATAAACACTCACGCCTGTCACCCAGAGGGGTAGGCAGAGACTACAGACTTCCATTTGGCACGATCCTGACACACCTCTCTCGCCTCATTCACATCCATATACCTACCTAGCCCTTTTCAGGGCTGCAATTCTACACAGCTGCGCACCCATGCAAACGGGAATTAGGGCGTCCCCCCAAGGCGACGCACACCAGCTCGTCCCCGTTGGTGTGGAATGCAACGCGCAAAGCGGCGATGGGGACCGCCACCCGTCACGCACAGCCCGACACGGCGGAAGGTGGAGGACGGAGTGCAGAGTTGGCACATGGAATGTTAGAGGGGGCATGAGAGATAAGACGAATGAGTTGATCGAAATAATGAAAGGAAGAGAATTAGATGTCGTGTGTATGTCGGAGACCAAACGGAAAGGCAGTGGTACTGAAGAGCTCCCTGGCGGGACGTTAGCTATATGGTTCGGAGTCCCGGAAAGAGAGAATGCCTGCCAGGGAGTGGGGGTGCTGTTGTCGTCCCGGTTGGTCGATCTTATGACTGAATACAAGGTTGTGAACTCAATACTTCTCTGGGTTCGCTTTAAACTGGGACTGAAGAAGTTATTCCTTTTAGCTGTTTATGCGCTGGTAGCTTCGTCGTCCAGGGCTGAGCTGGAGGAGTTTTGGGAGAATGTAAGAGAAGTTCTAGATTTGGTTAAGGGAAACGAAAGAACTGTTATATGTGGTGATTTGAATGGATGGGTAGGTATCGCCCGACCAGGATACGAGTCGGTGCTTGGAAAGTTTGGCGATAAAAGGGTTAATGATGCTGGCAAGCTTATACTGGCTGTATGCACGGAAAAGGATCTTCTTGTGACAAACACTATGTTTCATCACAGGAAAATCCATATGTACACTAGAGAAAGAAAGAAGTATGATTGATTTTTCCTGGTGGATGACCGACTGCGAAAACAGGTGATGGATACACGAGTGTTCAGGGTGCTGACCTGGGAACGGATCACTATCTAGTAATTACTAGATTTAGGGGTTTGTTCGCGGGTTGGCGCTACCGGACGGCAGTAACAGAACCACAGTCGGTCTGTCGCATCCGAAGCTGGAAGCTTCAGGAAGCGGATACTAGGGACAAATATCTCACGAGGGTAGCCGAAAAGCTTGACACCATCGATGGCAGGAAAGAATGTGTGGAGAGAACATGGCAGAACCTTAGGGATGGAATGGTAAGTGCAGCGGAAGAAGTATGTGGAACGCCAAAAAGAGGTAGTAGTAAAAGAAGAGATGTCGTCGTACGGCACGGCGGCGACGATTGAATACGATATCAATAGAAGCCGCCGGCGCGTGTATCTTGACCTTGTACTTCCGAATAGCTGCAAAATTTCTTTGACAGGTCAGTATTCGACCTTTGATGATGCCGACAACAAGACGCCGCGCACTATCAAAGTGCCGATGGTCAAAACTAGGGATGCACTGTTTTTTCTTTTAATGGATATTTTCATCCGCTATGTATGTTTATGGTATTGTTCGTAATACGCAGAAGTCCAATTTTCTCGTAGAGTCCCTAAGCGTATACCCGAAGTCCTATACTCCCTGAAACGACACTCATTCCTAACTGCAAGACGCAAGAGTCTCGCAGGCTTAGTCTTGTTCTTGCTCAAATCTTGCACGGTCAGTCTTGGTCTTGGTCTTGCTAAAATTAGGCGTTTATTTATTAAAGAACAAGATTCTTGGTCTTGGTCTTGCAAAAATGCAAGAAAAAGACCAAGACTGCAAGACCAAGACCGATTTTGGGCAACACTAATTTAAACTGCCCCCACGATGTACTTAGGAAAAATTCCTAGTGTGGAGATAACGTTATGATTAAACAGACAAAAAAAATATGAACCGTGCTTGAGTTGAGTAGCTCAAGGGCGAAATGCTCGCCGTAAACGCGAACAATCCGGGTTCAATACACGCCGACACTAATGAAATTGTTAGTTTGATGAATTATGTTTACATTATGAAACAATAAAAGTTTATCAAATGATATATATTTTATATAATACATATTTTTCAATTAGAACTTATAATATACTCAATAGGGTGAAAATGTAAAGCCGACTTTAATTTACTAAAAAAATAAAACAATTTCCACACGTTAGCCTCCGATTTCTATACACTACATAAGCCACTATGTGGAAATTATTTTTTTATTCTATTAGTTCCAATAGTAATAAACTGATTCGTGCAACTAAAGGCAACTAGCCTCGCGCTCGCCCTGACACGCACACAGCGATAACATTGTAGTGTGCGTCAATATTACTCCTTTCCAAAGCGATCGCGTAGATTTCGACTTGGACATATTTGAATATGCGCTCTTAAGACCGGAGAACCACAGAGTACTTTGTATATACTGAAATAGAGACCAATCCTGTCCACATATAACGCATACGTATATATACTTGTTCTCATCACAGATATAGTTAAAATCATAATAAATAAAACTAACATAATATTTACAAGATTTATTAAAAATAGAACGCAAATACAATAATAATTATCAGTACATTTATTACACATTTACTTAAATATTTAATGAATCACCAAGATGACCGTAATCCCAGAAATACAATGTGAAAAGCCTGAAACAAAGATAAGAACAAAATTAAAAATTTAAATAATGTAAATCTGTACAACTTCTTCAAATATATGTATAATTTATGTGCGTCAAGAGATTAAATTTGGATCGTTTGAAAAATGAATTTTAACTTAAAATTTTTAAACCAATTGTAATCAAGTAAGCAATTCTGCATATTGCTCCATAAAAATCGAATTGAATAATGACAAAAACAAATATTCGAGAAATAATTATTTATACAATAATGAATATTTGTTGTATTAAAGTATGTTATGTTAGCATTAAAGACGTCTTAAATTTACATTATATAATAACTTATATCAAATAATTTAAAGTTCAAAATAAATTATGCTTCTTTGAATAAAAACTATATTCACGGATTTTATTGCGTTTAGTCAACTACTTTAACTTATTTTTAATTCCCGACGTTTTGGGTGCTTCACAGCACCCGTGGTCACGGGGGGGGGGACTGAGATGTTTGACGTCCCAATGTCATAGTTAGTCCGGTTCCCTTCAGTTTTTGAATATTAAGTTTTTGTCCGATATACGCAAAACGAGCTTACAGTATCTCGAATACTTCCCGGAGCGTCGGTGCTACACTTCAGCTATATGTTCTTTCACGCGGGTTTTATAGGTCTTATTTTTTGTTTGACCTATGTACGACAGACCACATTCACAATCTAGCTTGTACACACCTGCACCTCGTAGAGGGATATAACATTTGATGGATGGTAAAAATTGATCAATCTTCTTCGGCGGCTTGTAATATGTTTTAATTCTTCAAGATGTAACCAACCTTGTCTGAGACTCCTCTGACATACGGTAGTACAGCAGGCGCGCGCTCGACTGTGGCCGGCTGCACTCGGCGCGGGGCTCGAAGCTTGTTGTCTTGCAATACTTGCTTGACATGCTGAAGCTCGGCGGCCAGATGTTTTCTGTCACAGATCCCACGTGCTCTCTGAAACAAAGATTTACCCTCGGTAGCTAACTTTTGCGAATTAAAAATAAGTTAAAATAGTTGATTAAACGCGATGAAATCCGTAAATACAGTTTTTATTCAATGTGTAGTGTTCGCGTAAATTTAAGAAATCATTATGCTTCTTTGCATTATTTCTAACACATTTTTAAATATATATATATATATATATATATATATATATATATATATATATATACATTAGAAATAATAATGTGCTGTATTGTACCTTGTAATGTAATGACGCCGTAAGTGAATTCACTACTCAATATCACCTCTCAGAATTACTATATATCTAGAATTCCAAAAAAAAAAACGCTTTCAAACCCGCCTGTTATACTGACAAATATTCCCATAATATAACCAATCTTTAGCAATGGACTTAAGACGATTATAAAATGTGCTTAATATTGTAATTGTAAATAAATGGATTAATATTGTAATAATGCACTCTTTTCATAATATCTAACCTATTTAGCAACGATATATCTGCTTATTATAAAAATATTTATGCAAAAAATGTAAAAAAAATTATGATTCTTTAATCTTACTTTTATA